GGGCGGCTGTTGGAGATTAGACTGTGGGATGGTTTCCATTGTTTTCAGTAGTTTATAACTTTCCCAACCCTTCCTCTTTTGACCTGACAGTTCCCAGGTTTGCATGAGGGCTCACACTTGGTTCACAGGTTGAGCAAACACAACTCATGAGTGTCTGGGAATGAGGAGAGTGAAATGGATACACTCTGCCCATGATTGACAAGTCAAAAGCAAAGCTAGGGGAGTGGGAAGGGGAAATTGTAGGGCGCAGGGAGTCAGCAGATAATACGGGAGGGTGAGGTTTCTGTGGCTGGGGATGCATGTGCTTAGTAGCTGTTCTTTGCCAGCAGCTACGGTTTCTCTGCTCTCCAGGCCACACGGCAGGACTGCAGGTGTTTTGGCTTCTCTTTAGGGATCTTATGGGGTGATAATACAAGTGGGAGACTTGGGACTATTGAGGAACCTTGTCCGCTGTCAGGGGACAGTGGAAGGGCATGGGGATTCTGTGTGATGGGAACCTACCTGCCATATTGCCCACCAACTCAAACCTGAGAACCATCAACACCAGGCCCGATACAGGACAGCCCTTAAGTACCTGCTGATCGGTAAATAGCTGTCCTGAGGAGGGATGCTTTCATATGGGCTCCTGATATGATCCATGTCTGCCTGCACTGACCGTCCTCCTATTCACAACCCTCTCTCGTTGTCCCTAGTCACCCATAAAGAAACTGGGGAATGAGGAGGTACCAGGAACAGGGACAGACTGCAGACGGGAGATGGGGGCGCTGGAACTCCAGAGCAGACTATTTGAGAGGAAGCAGAAGCTGCAGGTTAGAAGAGTGCTCTGAGACTCAGGTGATACAGGTTTGATTCCCAACCCTGCCACAGACATGCTGAATGACCATGGCCAAAGTGAAAACCTTTCTGAGTCCAAATTTCCTCATCAATAAAAAGAGGCTCCTATCTTATCTAGGGGGTTTATACCACCACCCATCACCACAGCGTCTGAGCAGCTGCCATGTAAAACTGATAGCAACAACGGAGACCCTCATGGAGTCTTTTTCCCTACTCAGGGTAGAAACTCCACTGGGGGCAGGGTTTGTGGGTTAGATTTTTTAAATTTCATTCATTTACTTTTCTTGATTGTTAGATTTTTGTTCCTGGGTTGATTAGTTTCGGGGGGTTACTTTTTACCCTTTGGTTTTTGTTCGGCTGGGATTTGTAGGTAGAAGGGGGTGTCATGGTTATGAATGTCATTCTTATTGTAGAAAGGCCTTTCTCATACTCTGCCTGGAATTTGTGAACCGTAAGTCAGTAACCTCTGTAGAGATCCTGCGGTTCTTGAAAGGAACGTGCTATAAAATGCAGCTCATTAGTATTTAGTAATAGTACATTCCGTAGTGGGATTTCTAGTAGTTATAAATGGGAGATTTCTTACTATAGATGAAATGCCCCTGTAATCTAGACACACTTCTGTATCTCAGCCGCTTGTAGCAGAAAGGGTCCTTAGAAGGAGCTATGGATAGTCTCTTATCTTTGACATGTTATAGCTCACGAGCTCCTCCTAGTGGTTACATTTCTACCATCACTTCTATTACGAATGTTATTACTTAACAGGCAGCCGTGATCCCTGCAGGGCATGTGAGGAGGCGGATGGGGGACACAGACCAAGAAGAGCTGTTCTCTTGCAGGCTTGGGAGGAACTGAAACACAAACACAAGAGACTTTCACCTGCTCTGGGGCTGCTTTACAAACTACAAACAAAGTCTGTGAAACCTCAGAACAACCCTGGGCCGGTTAATGGGTTGACAGTGAAATCACTGCAGACTCAGGGTGTCCAGACAAAACCAGCTGGAGCCCAGTGGCTGGGGCTCAGATTCACGGTCAGAGTTTGGGAGTTCACTCGACACCGAACTGCGAAGGAAGAGATGAAAAGACCTGATGCCACCAGCACCAGACCCAACAAACTCCTGACTCCCTGCACAGGGACACAGTGAGCGTCACGCAGTCAAGTCTCTGGTATCGACAGACGATGTCACAGCCAGTGCCAAATTCTGCAGCCAGCACAGCTGAGAACTCAGACCCTGGCCAGGGAGGATGCGATTTGCTCGGGGGATGTTTCTGTCTCACTTCCCCATGTGGGTGTATCACTGTGAGACACTCCCCCGCTGCCATACCACACAGCACAGTAATAATCAGCCTCGTCCTCTGCCTGGACATTGGTGATGGTCAAATACCAAACGTTTCTGGAGCTCTCCTTGGACCCTGAGAATCGGTCGGGGACCCCAGAGCCCCTGCTCATGCTGTTATAGTAATAGAGCAGGTGTCGCGGAGGGCTGCCAGGCGTCTGTTGCAGCCAGGTCTGCTCATAGCTCTGCACAGTGACCCCACTGCTCATGGAACAGGAGATTTTCACTGTCTCTCCAGGGGATGCGGTCATGGAGGGCGGCTG